AATTTTGGTTCCTCTCTTCATGCTGTAATTCTAGGAAGCTGTGGTGTCTTTTCTGCATATTCTGGCTATAAATATGAAGGCATGGGGCCTATGTGCATCATATTATGACTGTGTTCAGTGTGACAACAAGGCCAGGACAGATCATACACTCAGATAAATTACTGTCCCTTTGTTTTTTGTTTTTCGAGACAGGGTTTCTCTGTGTAACAGCCCTGGCTGTCCTGGAACTCACACTGTAGACCAGGCTGGCCTTGAACTCACAGAGATTCACCTGCCTCTGCCTCCTGAGTATTGGGATTCAAGGTAGGAATCATATCTGTCAGTTACTGTCTTCTTCTTCTTTTCTTCTTCTTCTTCTTCTTCTTCTTCTTCTTCTTCTTCTTCTTCTTCTTCTTCTTCTTCTTCTTCTTCTATCAAATTCTCTTATTAATTTTTATTTTATGTGCACTGGTGTTTTGCCATGGGTGTCGGGGCTCCTAGGAACTGGAGTTAGCTACAGACAGTTGTGAGCTGTCATGCGGGTGCTGGGAATTGAACCAGGGTCCTCTGGAAGAGCAGTCAGTGCACTTAACCACTGAGCCATCTCTCCAGCCCATTACTGTCTTTTTAAAGGGACAAAAATGAATGCTGTGAATAAGACATGGGGAAGGAGATCAGCAACCACACAGAAGAAGGTTCTAGAGAAACTGGGACCAGGTTGCTGTAGATCAAGAGCAAACAGGGGACCCTGGCTTCTTGTAGGGCAAACCCAATCCTGGTAGGGAAACCTGATAGGTACATTAGCTAGGGGATCCAGACAAAGTAGCAGCATGTCCTCACACTGAACAATTGTTCATGTGGTAGAAGCTGGGGACAATAGGGTGAGAGGTTCCATTGAGAGACTGAGTGGAGAATCCAAAATATTCCTGCTGTGATCTGGTTATTTGGGAACCTCATGCATCCACTGAAATGCAGTTACCAATGTATGCTTTTAGGAGGGAGCTTTGGGGAAGTGATATGACCATGAGGTCTGAATTAACATGGGTGGGATTAATGTCCTTATGAAAGAGGCCACAGGGATCTAGCCATCTTCCTCCTCACCACCACTTGAGGACATCAAGAGGGGTTCCATCTATAAACTAGGATATGGGTCCTTGCTAGAAACTTAATCTTGGACATCCCAGTCTATAAAACTGTAAGCAATAAATTTCTATTGTTTGTAAGGTACTCAGCACAAGGTGTTTTGTTATAGTGGACAAAATGGTTCAAATTATCCATTGACCATATGGAATTTAGAAAAGGTTTTATAATGAAACAATACAAGGGGGGCGGGGTAGGCAGAGTTGTCTGTGACTGGTAGTTGTGAGGGAACTATGGTACCTGTCTTCCATGTAAGCAGAAAGAACCAAGATGCTCATAGGCTGCCAACTTCTGGGTATCATCATCACTTGGCTTGAGCAGTAGCTCCCAAGTTGAGGCTGAAATCAAGTGGTACAAACACTATTCTCCAGGACAGGATGCTTAATTGCCATCCATGTCAAGCCAGCTCTCAACCTCAATTTCAAGTGAATGTGACAACTGAGAATTGCCAGGAAAAGCCAAGTTCTTGTGGCTAACCACAGACAAAAACTTTCCCCGACAGTTTTCTTGCCTTAAGCGCTCAGCTGGCTCTGGCCTGTGACCAGAAGGAATTAAAAACCCATCAAGGATGTCCCTGTGTTCTTCCTCCTCCACCTCCCTTTCCTTCCCTTTCCTTCCTGAGCATTTCAGTCCAAGAGTCATTAGGTGGTCTAAAAACACGTGAAGCCTGGAGAAGGATGGGAGGATCCACCGTGAGTCACAGCAAGGTGGACAAGGGACAGCAGTGACACTTATAGGGTCTCTTTACCAAGGGGAAGGGGCACATAGTGATCACCTAGAAATTAATACTGGTATATGATTTGATGAAGAAAACAGGAATTTGGTTAAATGGTGTGGTTAGAGAGGCCTAACAAATAACATATTGAGGGTATCAAGAAGTTGTAACTATGGAAAGAGAAGCTGTAAATTTGGAAAGGGAAGTGTTTTGTAGAACAAGTTCCTCTCAACAAAACAGCTGACATCTGCATCAGACAAGCTGTACCTGCTTGCAGAAGGCCATTACTAATGAGTATGTTGACTGCTCCCTCAAAGAAGTGGGAGTGGGGCAGTCACTGAGCTCTCATCTGAGATTCCCACTACTCCCTCTTGCCCTTCCTAGGCATTTGCATGCAATTCTGCACACAGCCTCCAGATCTCAGGAGTCTCTAGAATACATAGACTTGGGAAGGCTAACCAAGGGAGGATTTTACACAGCTATGGGGAAGCTATCATCCAAGCTAGGTAAAAACTTTTCAGAGCGGCAGCTTTGGGGTCAATATGCTCCAGTAAGCAACCTTACACTCTTGCTCTGTAAACAACTTCAACAGACTCATAGGTTCCTAGGGTGACCTTTGGTGAATTGTCCTTGATTTGACCTTGGGAGCTTATAAAGAAGGGGTAGAAATGGTCTGTCTCACCAGGGAAGAAATTCTTATGACAAATGTGGACAACCCTATTAAATAAGAATTTAAAAATCCCTGGGTGGGTAAAATTACTTACCATGCACCCCTGCGTTTGGATCCCAAGAACCTGAGCAAAAAGCTAGATGCAATAGTGCTCATTTGTGTTGCCAGAATCTCTACAGTGAGAGATGGAAAGCAGAGATGGGAGAACCATAGGGAAGCCTGCAAATTGGCTAGCCTGAGGTATACTATCCAGAAGCAGGAACAAGGTGGAAGGTGAGAACTGATTCCTGAAAGGTATCCACTCACCTCGAAATATGCATACCATGACAAGAGCATACTCACAGTCTGTCTCTTACACACACACACACACACACACACACACACACACACACACACACACACACACACACACGCAAACACACACTCACCAATTTTTGGAAAAGATGCATGAATCCTTGGTTTCATAGATAGATAAATAGATGACTAGATAAGATAGACATACAAGTAGATGTTTAATCTCCAATTCTGCCTATCGAGGCTGCCTGTAAGCACTAATAAGTCAACATTAATGTGTATGCCAATCTTGATGTATACATCCTGTTCTATAGTAAGAGAATAAATGTTCTTTGCTCTTTGAGAGTAAGACTGATTTCAAGGCTGGGAAAGTACTGGGTAAAATGGAGCATCGTACAATAACAGAAAGTAAGGAAGTGTTTGAAGAACTGCTTCTCAAAAAGACGAACAAGTGACCTGGAGGGGATTCCCATTGCTATAACTAAACAAAATGAGGGTCAAAATAACAAGATGAACGATAACAAACTATTGAATGTAATGGGATTCCATGAGACTATATTGATGTAAATAAATTCTAGACTTTGAGTCTGATAAGAAATAGGATTCCAAGGTCAGATGTGTCTAAGTAAAATATGTATTATTTACAAAAGGAAAACATAGTTTCTCTGTGAGAAGCCTTACAAACACTCCTTAATCAAGTGATCAAAAGTAATATTGAATGGTCAAAGCTACGATCTGCCCATCCTGGAAGAATCTAACACCATGTGCTACTTGCTTAGACACTGTGAGGATGCAGCATCAATTTGGTGGTCCTTCCCTACCAAAGGTGAAATGTAATCATATAAAGCATCAGAAAGACGCAATGTGGAGTGTGCTACAAAACTTGTGCAGTAGGCCATTGTGGTACCAAGTGATTCTCAAACAGCCCAGAATAAAAACGTATTTGTACTTTACATGAGAGCTTTCCTTTATGTTTGAAATTATCTCAGAATTTAGAAGTTAATGATAGAGTGATTGATCCTGTGCCATTGTAGATTCATGGAGGTCAAAGTGTCAATATGAAGGAATTGAGAACTAATGACTCAAGTTAAACAGTAATTACACTTTAACGTAATGCTTCTCAAATTGTCTTTGATGAAAGATCAGTTTCCCCACAAGTCCACTGTAAAACACATAATACACTTGGGTGTCAGGATGGTATGGAAATTAAGGTCTGCATTTATGTCAGCATGAACCATAACAATGCACGGACTAGCTCTGACCACACCAAGAGAAGCACATCTCTAATGTAAGATGAACAGATCTCCAATTGCTATCATATCCACATGGGAAACAAAAGCTTCTGATCACATTGTTAGCCACACTGGCATCCACAGCATTGCCCTAATTGATAGCAGCCATCTATACCAACAATTCAAGAAAGGGGCTGCTCAGACAATGAAGGGAGATTAAATATGGCCCTTTGACTTGTAGTAACTTCACTTTTCTACATGGACAAGGATGGATGAAGAGGACCTAATTCCAGAGTAAACACATGTATAGCCTGAAGTTGGGAGGTTGGGGAAACATTGTTACAAAATGTCTGAGAAAGACATTGTAAGGCCATCTTGTGGTGTGAGCATCACAGAGTAGACTTAGAAACCATGATGGGTATCATGTCACACTGGGTGGTATCTTATGGGATCACTACTTTATATACGGTCTATCATTGATACGATCACATAAAGGAAGCCAGAGAAGATGGACGGAATATCTGCAGTCTGTAACCCTGAGTCATGACCATCACTGCTGGGAAGAAAGCCGGCATCCTAAAAGGGGTTGGTAGAACACACTCCTCAAATTAGACGGGTTTAATTTAAATCTAGCTTTTGGAGGTCCAGTTACTGACTTGAAGACACAGATGGCACATGGGTGCACTCTACCAAGATCTATGCCACACTTGGCCAAGAAGCAGCCCTCCAAGTGAAAAGAAAAAAAGAGTCTGTACAATAAATCAAGACAAGGCATACTGAGAGGCAAGGAGCCCCTGAATCCACTGAGAAATAACAACCACCACCTAAGCTTAACATGTTTACAGTGGACACCCTAACACCCCGTTGCTGAAATTCTCCTGCCACAGGCATACTGGAGGCTCTACACATAACTGTGTGAGCAGCAGTTGCTCTGTGTGACACCTGGGTACAGGATGCCGCTGTCACTCACCTGGAGCAGTCTTGTAGCAGGTGGTTCTAGAAGGCAGCGATAGGGCATTCTTGGCCCTGGGGCTCGGGTTGCTCTGCGCCACTTGTCTCTGCCGCTTCAGCTCCTCTTCCCTTTCCTGGGCTGCTCGGATCTCTTCTTCAATCATGGACAAAGTCCGCTGCTTCCTTGACCTCAGTTTGAAGGGCCCAACCATGACATCAGACTCTTGCGTAGCCAGGAGGGAGGCTGTGCTTCTCAGCTCAGCTGCCTCTGAGTACTTGCTGAAATAGCCTCCTTCAGGCCTGCTCGCTTCCATGTTGACTGGCCCACTGGGCTGCACAGCTGTCAGTGGCTGGGAGGGCCCCTTTTCCCTGAGTGCCTTGTCCTCCACAGGGAGGATCTTTGGTAATACATCCCTTTTCTCTTGAACGGGAGAGGACACCTGAGGTGGTGCAAACATGCTGTGGGGTTTCTCAGAGCCAGAAGCCTGGCTTTCAGCTTCCTCCATTGTTGCTTCAGGTCCCTGCTGTTCTGATCCCCCCTTACTAGTGTGCAATTCAGCCTTATCCGCCTGCTCAGCTATGGCTTGTTGAATGGCATTCTGCACCAGGAGCCCAGCCTGATACTCTAAGGGGTCGTCAACTGATGGAGAATCTCCCAGTGTGGAGGAAGGAGAATAGAAGCCATGATCGCTGAATGATTTGGAGATCCCTTCTCCACCCTCTGAGGGGTTGTCTGTTTGGGGAGTCTGAGACAGAGAGAAATCAGCCAGTGAGTTCTCCTGAAGGGCAGTGGGTGTCTCATTGGAAGCCCCACTGTCACTTATATTGTCCATGCTAAAGTCATTGGACAGAGTCTCTAAAACAGTGGTGTCCTGAGACCTCACCGACAATTCATCCAAACCTGAGTCCAGCTCCTCTTGGGTCAAAGATACGTTGACGGATCTTGAAAACTGGTCCAAAATCCCATGATCTTCATCCTTGACTACAGTAAGAACGGCCCGGGCACTTGTGAACTCTCCATCCTCTGCCCACAGCTTAGACAAGGGCCCACGTTTGGAAGGCTCACTGTATGGCCCTTCCTTTCCCTGAGTGGCAGTGCTACCTGGGCCTGCTCCTGCAGACGGGCTGTCAGAGACACATGACACTTTCTGCCCCTTGGCTGCCTGTGTGCTACTGTCTTCCGGAGGTGTCCCAACAGCAGCTGGTCGCAAGATGGTTGGTGGTTTGTCTGAGTTGATGGATCCAAGAGGTCTATAGAAAGGCTTGATGGAGAACAGCCTTGGTGTGCTCTGGCCCTTGGCCAATGGTTGCCTGGAATTCTCCATCAGCTGGAACTGTTTGCGTGCAGCAGAGAAGTCAATCTGCTCGGTGACGACATCCTCCTTGGTGTGCTCAATGCCATCTAAGTGTTCCTGAGGAGCTGGGGCTGTGCAGAGCTGAGACAGGGGCATTTGCTGCTGCTGCTGCTGCTGCTGCTGCTGCTGCTGCTGCTGCTGCTGCTGCTGCAGCTGTAGCTGTTCCTGCTGTGCCCTTCTCTCTTTCCGCTCCTTGTATTTTCTGTGCGACTCCAGATGTTCCTCGTCCAGCTGTTCCTCGATAGTTTTTTCCTGGGGGGGATTCCACCACTTGGCGGCAATGCCAGGATTCTTCTTCACAGCCTGACTCCGAATGAGCTCCCTCCGCTCCTTCTCCAGCTCTAGCATCTCTTCGGAGGGCCTCACTTTCCGCACGCAGAATTGCTCCTTCTCGCGTTCATCCTCCTCAAAGAGCTTGGAGGGTTTCTTGTCCTCGTGGAAGGCACGCAGCTCAAACTTGGCCTCCTTTTTCAGTGTGGTGAGCGTGAACTCCCCATCTCGGGAAGAGCAGTGGGAGCTGGTAGAGGAGCTGGGGCTGGCAGGTGCCTGCAGGCCGTCCCCCAGCAGGCCTTGGGGCTGGTCAGTGGAGTGTCCATTGGCTCTTTCTCCTTCAGCCATGGTGTCAGAAGGGCTCCTACTGAGCTCAATGTGAGGAGGCACCTGCCTGCCAGATGCTTTCTCAGTGGGTTCTGCCTGGGTAGTGGCAGGCGTATAGGCAGGTGAGCCCAGGCCGCTCACCAGTCTGGCTGCACCAGGCTCTGGGGAGGAGATTCCGTTGTAAGTTCCATCCACAGAGGAATCACAGCAGTTGGCCTCCAGCACCTCATCTAGATATTGGATCTCTCTGGCGACATCATTATCTAAGGACTCATGGTGATCAGTGAGGAGGCCATTGTGTGAGGGCGAATAAGAAGGGGAAGAGTGGTCCTTGGAGTGGGGGGTAGAGGTGATGCCAGGTACACTTTTACATTCTGCCACAGACACCTCAATTTCCATGTTTTTGTGATCTGGGGAGAGAGAGCTGGCAGCAGGCTCCAGGTGAATGTCACCACAGTTGTCTTGCTTGCTTCTCAGCTGGTTAGCATCCTCAGAAAGCTGGGAAGGCTTCTAGAATAAAGAGAAAACATGAGTAGGGGTTAAATGCACATTTCTGGATATAGATGCAAAGAAATTCACTCCTAAGTAACAGTTTTTACTGCCACCTTCCTTTATTTTATGCTGGTGGGGGCTTTGTGCATGCAATGCAAGTGTTTCCATCAAGCTGCATCCTTAGCCCTTCACTGACATTCTAAAACCATGAAAGCAAAACCATGTTTCATAAGGTGGATGTCAGTACCTTCTACTCATACCATGAAGAATTACAGAACACACTGAGGATATACACTTGTCTAGCATGCAAGTCACCCCACCCCCTAGGTTCATTCTCCAGCACTGGGAGGCAGGAGTAAAAAAATTAAATAACAGGAATTTTCAATGTAGAAACTTATTGGCAGATATTCAATTCCAGTAAACATCAGCCAAAGCTGGCTACCTCCATGGAAAATGATTACAGAAAACACAGATCAACCAGGGAAGGCACTGGAAGGTGAGAGTCACTTCCAACCTCCAGTTTCAGCTAGCCAGTGATGAACTACAGGAAAAGCAGCCTGTCCCTCTCCTCTCTCTCTCTCTCTCTCTCTCTCTCTCTCTCTCTCTCTCTCTCTAACTTTAGGAAGGAAAAGTGGAAAGTAACAGGAGGGTAGTGGGAGCACAATAAAGTTAAAAAAAAAAAATCCTGGCTCTACTGAAACACCTCAGAACAACTGCAAAGGAAGACACTATACTATAAAGGAAGAGAACCAAAAGGCATTTACTCGATGATGCTCATTAGACAGGCAGGATTTGTATTTTGTAGAGCAGTTGAAGTGAGCAGCAACTTTAAGCCCCAGGTGACAAGCACTGTCCTAAAGAAAAGTGGGATTTCCCGTGCTGCTCATGGAGCATGAGTTTATTCCAGAGTTTACGTAGGGTGAAGCCAAATGAAACCCTTGACTCTATTGGAGCCCTGTTAGTCACTAAAATAGAAGTGCCCTACCTATCTTCCACAGCACTTTCAAGGAACTGCTTTTTGGGGTTTTTTTTTGTTTTGTTTTTGTTTTTGTTTTTGTTTTGTTTTGTTTTGTTTTTGACTCCTGCATCAGCTCTGTCCTTTTGTCCTAAGCACTTCATAGCTCAAATGTGCCAAGCTGATCCATTGACAGCTCTTTCAAGAACTCAGAAATTGTGTCTAGATCACAAATGAATACTTCAGGAGGTAGAAGCAACTGGATATGAAATGTTGAAAACCTGAAAAGAGCATTTAGCAGTACATTTTTGCTTTATCAAAAAAAAAAAATGGGCTTTGAGTTAGAAATGGCAACACAAGTACTTTGTCTTCTGTCATCTGTTAAACTGAGATTAAAACAAACAAACAAAAAAAGATAGGGGTTTGAAATAGCTCAGTCAGTACAAAGCTTGCATGAGGACACAATTTGGGGCCCCAGAACCAATGTAAAATAAGCCAGCTGTGGTAGCACATGCTTGTAATCCCTGTGCAGGGGATGCAGACATGGGAGGATCCCTGGGGCTGTCAGGCAGCCAGCCTGGCCTAATTTGAGAACCCTAAATCCCAGTGAGCAACTCAAAAAAAAAAAAAAAATTCAAAGGACATGGGAATTTGACCTCAGGCCTTCACATACTTTCTCATTCACAGACACACAAACATATGCCCAAATGATAACTGTGGACGGTAGCTCACCCCTATAATCCCAGAATTTGAGAGACTGAGGCAGGAAGGCTGCCAAGAGTTTAAGGGCAGTCTGTGTTACAGAACAAGACCTTACCTCAAAACAACAAAAGCTACTTTTAAAAACTGGTTAAATGGGCAGGCAAGATAAAATGCCAGCCACCAAGCCTGATGACCTGAGTTCAGTCCCTGGGACCTGCATGGTAGAAAGAAAGTGCCAGCCCTGGCAAACTGTTCTCTGATCTCCACACAACACACATGATGGCAGATGGCATGAATGTGCACCCCACCTCACAAAATGATGAAACGTAACTTTAAAAAACATTGCTTGAAATGCAAAAATTTGGAGGCCAGGTGTGTCGGTGCACACCTATAATCCCAGCACTCAGGAGGCAGAGGCAGGCGGATCTCGGTGAGCTTGAGGCAGATCTGATCTCTAGAGTGAGTTCCAGAACAGCTGGGGCTACACAGAGAGATTCTCCCTAGTAAAATAACAACAAAATATTTTTGGGCTGATGGTATAACATGATGAGATTGCTTTCCAATTTTTTTTTTTTAAGTTTCACACTAGAAGGCATAAACAGGAAAGTTTCCCTTCCTGTGAGTTACAGACAGTCCAGTCCTTTTCTTTCCACAAACTCAAGAGATCTCTTCCTGATTGATGCTCAATTCTATTCCCTTCAGGGGACAGCTGCTTTACTCACTGGCCACCAGCGAGAAGCTCAAACTGACACTGCAGCACTAAACTATTCACAGCCAAGCACCAGAAAGTTAGGCAACAATTGTGACAAAAGAGCAAATGCCCCAGGCCTGATACAATCAAAGCCACTAGCAACTGGACTGGGCTAAGGAATCCCGGATGGCAGGAGTCTGGGCTTGACATCACTAAATGATGTCTTGCTTAAACCGGCCAATGCTAACTTCTTCCATTGAAGATAAGGGAAGAACCAGAATTTTCTCTAGGCTGCAGATAAGGTAAACCGGAATCCAGTTTTGGATAAAACGCACATCCGTGACATTGACGGGAAAACCCTTCCATAGGTTTTTTCCTTTACTATAATAGATGTGAAAAACCAGCAGGTGGGGTTTTCTGAGGTCAAAGAAAAAGCAGGGTGCTAAGGGCTTGTGGGTGATCTTTTGCCTGCCCCACACAACCCTCCAGGTAGTCTTAATGCCATGGTACATAATGCCTGCCCTCCGACTGGCTGCCCAGAATAGCCAGCAGCCACTGAGGATGTCAGCAATTTACTCTGGAATTCTTGGGCAAAGACAATATAATATAATGCAGCTGTGTGCTTCTGAAATGCATTTAAATTGCATTCCAGGGCAGGCAGAGAGCCATCCTGAGGATAGAAACTTAAGAAGTGGTCACCTTATACAGAAATCCTACACTCAAAAGGTGGCTTCCTCCAGCACCTCCAGCTACCTTAAACCCCTGCAGACTCTAGGGGATTTGCTAATTGGCATAATTAAAATGAGAAATGGGCTTCCATTAGTGAAATTAGTGGCTTGTCTAGTAGCATAATGAATGTTAGAATATTGGAGATTCCACCCTTGCACAAAGAGTGTGAGCCCCAGGTTGGTCCTAGCTTACAGAGCCTCCTGGTTGCTAGATTTTGAGATCTGAGAACTAAAAGTCTGATTTCCAGCCTTGGGTTCAGCAGACATGGGGTGTTTAATGTGGTAACAAAATCCCTCCTCTGCAAACTACAACATTCCCTCTTAAGAGAAATGGAGTGTGGGCTTCGGGGACTTCAGAAAGCTGAGGCTTGCTTCTGCGAGAGTACCAGATCAGGATTTTATAGCTATTTTATATTGTTTGCTTAGTAAATGTCAATGTGAGTGCTAGAATTTGGCTCCAGACCTGCTTTTAATATAACCAAGTAACCCCTTTGCATCTAAAGCTGCCATTATTTATCAAAAAAAAAAAAGTTCAACAGTCAAGCCAATCAGTTTAAGAAAATTTACAACTCCAAGATTTAGGTCCTAGTGCCAGTGTTGGCTCTTCAAGTAAGGACTCTGTTGGGCAAGCCGATTTTGAGCTCTTCTGCAGATGCAATGCCTTGGTAAGGAGGGCTAACAATATCTTTCAAATATTTTCTGAGAATTAAACTTAGAAAACTGATTTAAAATGTATTATGAAAATTGTAAAATGGTTAATATAAATGTAAAAAAAAAAGTTTATTTTTAAGCAATTTTACACCAAAGTGCAAATGACCAATGTTAACTTCTTTCTCGGAGGAGACTGACTTTCTTGAAAATAGCATTGGGTTATGGTTTTCAGAACAGAAGTGGTAACACAAAGAGATTAAAGGAATCGATCCAGAAATGTCAGACCAAAAGCACTTTCTATTCTCCTAAGCCCTTCCCCACCTCTGCTATTAAATGTTTATTTTAGTTCAAAGCTAAACATATTTGGGAAATGCTATTTGTGGCTAAAGTCAGCAGAAAATTTTCATAAAATGTCCTTAAAAGTCATATCCTGGGAGCTGGAGAGATGGCTCTACAGTTAGGGGCACTTACTGTCCCTGCAGAGAACACTAGTTCAGTTCCCATCACACAGATGAGATGTTCACAATGCTCCATAACTTCAGCTCCAGAGGACCTGATAACCTCTTCTTGGCTCCATGGGTAGCTACACTCCCATGCAATACCCCCACACAAACATACTTAAGTATACACAATTAATTAAAAACAAAGTTAATACCCGGCATTTGGGAGGCAGAGGCAGGTGGGTTTCTGTGAGTTCAAGGCCAGCCAGGACTATAGAGAGATTCTGTCTCTAACCAAAACAAAATTATTTTTTTTAAGACATGCCAAATCCTGAAGATGTACTGGGTGCACTGGGGGAGGGGATGTAGCTCAGTGGGACAAAATGGTACAGGAACCCCCTGGGTTGGATTCCCCCACCCCAAGTATATTGAAAACACCTGTACAAGGATCTCGTTTATGATATGGAACCTTTCCATCCCCAGTGCTTAAGCAGCCATGGAAATGCTGCTATGAGTGAGGCTGCACAGCAAGCCACAGTATACACCCCTGAGTGTTCTCAGCTGACATACTGAAGACTAGGGCCTCTCTGTTTTAAGTTGGAGATCTTTACTACCTTATGCCTTTAGAATGAAGAGGTTTAGGAGACATTTTCCCAAGATCACATCTGGCTAGTAAATGACACAGCTCTTAATTTTATCTCACTCAGTGTGTCAAAGGTTTTCTTTCAATATGACAGGAAGCTTCCAGAGTGATATGGGAAAGGTCATGAAGAATGGACAGGTGAGAGAGTATTTGTTTGGTTCTGTCCTTGATCCTTGTTAGCTTGAATCTCCTTAGGTAAAATTAGAT